GCTTTTACACACTGTGTTGATTGACTTTCGGAAGTAATGATAATGAAGGATCCTGAGAATGATTTATCAGCGCTGATAGATCCTTCCTTACAAAAGGAAGAATATTGCAATACAAAAAAGAATGAAAATGTTAAACTATATCTCTTCATCTAAACTAGAATGAGGATAGTGGTTTCATAGTAAATTTGTAATTTGAAGTAGTGATATAACGTTGAGGTTCATCTTCTCATCACGTCGGCGATCAAGAGAATTTGTGTAAAATCTACTTACAGTAGCTCATCCATATCACACAATATTTTGTGAACAGGTTTTGGGTAGTGGTTTCAACATGGCATCCGTCTCGAAAATACAAAATTCGGAGGAACCTTGGTTCATTTATTGCCTCATATACAATGATAGTTGAAGAAAATAATTATTCCTGATATCCATTATCAAAATAGTGACGCAACTATCAGGTTTCCATAATAGCGGCTTCCCAAGATGGCGATGGGATCACCAAAAGGTAGAGGGTGGTAGAAGAAGAAGGTCTGCGAAGGTTTAGGTTGATGAATATGCTTTCTTGTTTGTGTATTTCTGTCGATTTAAATATCAAAACGAATTGTAGTAATTTTCGTACTTGCCTATAGGTGTTGATCGGCCTTCATGGTTATATTTGGCTTCATTTTAGACGAAAAATTCTCTGAAGCGGAATTTCGTGCAGAGAGAGCGAGGTATTTGACTCGAGTGAAAAACAAATCTCTCTTCTTGTATCTTTTCAAGACCAAATCACACCTTACCACGCTCGTTCACAGAACATTGGAACAGCAAGAACAACCCATCAAGGCCGTGAGTGTGGTGTGAAGTAGGCCGACATTATTTACTTTGCAGAGTTCGGTATAGGGAACGTTAAATTAATCTTAGTACTAGCAAAATTAAGTACCTACCGAAAACAGATAACAAATCTGACAGAAAAATATAAAGTAGCATATAGTAATAACCTTGAAAGGAAAATATTTTGACACAAGATATTATTTGTTTATTTGTCCCTGAGGAATACTAGGACTAATATAAACTAGAAAGCACATCATTGAACGAAACCTTTCCGCAGGAATAATATACCCGATAATAACGAGCAAACAGGCGGAGCGAACGTTCAAGACTGGTTTATTATTTATTGAATATTTGCTGTGTCGTGTTACAGAGTGATTTCCGAAATGATTCTCAGCGATTGTAATGTCGAATACACTGCATCTCGACAAATTACGTTAAATAAAGTTGTGGTGAGTTGGTACGTATAAGGGTCACAAAGTGAACCGTTAAAGAGTTGTTCAGGCCAAGGCTCGTTAGGATGACACATGAGTGCTGCTTTAAGGGTTCGATGCCACCGTTCAATCATACCATTTGCCTGCGGGTGGTATGGTGATGATCGAATCCGTTTTGATCTTGGGAACCCTGATCAGTGGTAATTGTTTTGGGAGATCCAAATCTTGCAATCCAATTACTGTATACTGCTACACATATTGTTTCAGCTGTCATGTCCTTCAAAGGTACTGCTCCTGGCCATCTGCTGAAACGACCTATCATAGTAGGGCAGTAGCGATAACCTTTGGTTTGCTCTAGCACTATGATGTCAAGATGGACATGGTCAGATCGCAGATTTGGAATTTCGATATGTTCGGGAATTGGACCATGCACAGGATTAAAAATGTCTTTACGAATCTTGCTTGGAATATATGGACGTAGATAACCTGAAACGTCACAATATATCTGGTTTTTAGAGTCTATAGCAACTGTCTGTAACTGCAGTGAGTTTTCACCTGTGAGAAGGTCTTGAAGTTCAGAATTTCCATCATGAGCCATCTTCAGTTCTTCTGATGTGATGATGGTAGGCATACTGATAGCATCCAGCCTGGAGAGTGCATCTGCAACACTATTTAGATCTCCAGATAAATGTACGATGTCAGTAGTAAATTGTGAAATGAGATCAAAATGTCTCAATTGACGAGGTGAGGCTTTTTCTGATTTCTGACTGAAAGCATACACAAGAGGCTTATGGTCAGTTTTTATCACAAAATGGCGGGCTTCTAGGATACTTTCAAAATGTTTTATCGCCACATAAATCAAATCATGTTTGATAGAAAAATATATATTATTTTTCATTTTATTGAACACATTAAACAAATCATTTAACTGAAAACATCAAAATGCAAGAAATAAAAGTGACAATAAACCTAAAAATATGTCTAAGATGTCTACGCTGAGTGTGGTATGAAAATGAATAATGGATCCTCAGGATGTTCTGATGTTGTCTGATCCAGGTGTGCTGAGATTGAGTTTATAGCATCTGCTGGTGGTTGATGATCAAGGTCGTACAACGTTAAGTTCGAGTTAGATTGAGTTGAAGAAGGCCCTGATGAAATCCAAGGCTTGCTTCATAAAGTATAGTTTGAATTTTATGTACAGGCTGTCCCATTTTCGATGTCCTTACGGGATATCTCGCTTAATTTTGAAGATAGAAAGTTGCGGTTTTCGCGAACGTTGGCTACTTTTTTGTGAAACTCACGAAACCGTGAACAAAATTTCCATAGCCCGCTTCGTTCCTGAGATACAGGGTGAAATTGAAAATATTGCATTTTGAGACCCCCTTTGTATCTCAGCTATCTTTCAACTTAGAGGAAAAGTAAGAACTGTTTCTTTCACAATTTTTCACGAAGAATCCAGTGGCGTAGTCAGATTTTTTAAATGAGCTGTCGTTATTTAGATATAACCCAAAGTTATGTTTTTTTAAATAGAACACCCTGTATGTTTATCAATATTTGAAACAAGAAAGCTTTGCGCTTTTCAAAAATATATAACACTTATATGATATTTTGAGTATTAGTTCTGTATTTGGGTAATTTTCAGTTTTTTATGTAGGTTTCTTATCAATAGGCCTTGTAAAAATGTGGCAACATTATCCACTTCACAAATTTTCATATTTCCCTTATTGCTGACACCCACATTTACCAATATTCAGTACTATTAATTGCCTATGAAAGCTGTGGACTTAATTAGTAGATAGCTATGAAAAAAAAAACACAAATGCAGATTGTTTACAATTCTTGTCACCTACCTGTCAAAGTTTACAAATTTTTCATACAATGGCGAATAATAATCCATCAGGATATCAAAACTACAACAAATTAGATATCTCCCAATTGCTGGGTATCAGTTAGTTACAATATGATAAAAAATTTAGGTATCCCGAGAGGAGACAACCAAGTAGGAAAATATTTGGCAGACTGAAAGAAAATTTGGAAAATTTTGGATCTTTTGAGAAGCCTAGACCGAAAAGTTATAGGAAAGAAAATGCCGAAAACGATGAAATTAGTGTCCTTGCAAAGGTAGAAGAAAGCAATAATTATACTTCTTGCAGAGAAATTGAAGAATCATTTGGCCTTCCAAAGACAAGGGTGTCCAAGATATTGAAAAAGAACAAATATACCCCCTATATACCACAAACTATTCATTATTTGTACCCGGGTGATGCTGTGAAGCGCATTGAGTTTTGTAGATGGTATATCCAAAAGACGGAAGAAAATATAAATTTTGGGCGTTCAGTAGTATGGTCCGATGAAAGCCATATAAGTAGCGCTGGAATATTTAATCGAAATAATCATCGTTATTGGTCAAATGAAAATCATCACGTTACGGTGGTTCGCCAACAGCAAGGCAGATTCGGCTTTAATGTATCTTGTTTCGTTTATGGAGGAAGACTTGCCTATCGAATTTTTGACGGTAACTTGAATCACCAAAGATATTTGGAAATTTTAGATGATTGTCTTTCTGAACTACTTGACGAAATTCCGTTGGCTCAATTTAGACACAGTTTCTTCCAACAAGATGGCGCACCTTGTCATAACGCAGGTGCCATCAGGGTTTATCTTGATGAAAGATTTCAAAATCAGTGGATTGGTAATAATGGTCCCATTCACTGGCCGCCAAGGTCCCCTGACTTATCGATATTAGATTTCTTCTTATGGGGCTATATAAAAAATAAAATATATCACACGCGGCATGAAGATCGAGATTCACTGATGAATGCTACGAGAGAAGCTTTCGAATATTTACGTATGAGACCTATATTTTTACTCCGGTCGATTGACGCTATCCTCAGAAGATGTCGGCTGTGTCTTCAACAGAATGGGCAGCAATTTGAACAATATTCATAAGACATTTTCAACAGGAGAAAAATTAATAGAATTGTTTTGTAGTAGTGTTTGAATTTATTGTTTTATCAAATTGTTTTATGTTTTATCAAATTGTTTTTATCAATTTGTTAATTGAATAATCATTTTAAAAGAATACTTCTCATTCTACCCTATATAAATGAGTGGTATTTGATTATTGCGCCAGAATATCTATTCTAAAAGTAGAAGTTATTTGTCTTGATATGCCATAAAAAACTGAAAATTACCCAAATACAGGACTAATACTCAAAATATCATATAAGTGTTATATATTTTTGAAAAGCGCAAATCTTTCTTGTTTCAAATATTGAAAAATATACAGGGTGTTCCATTTAAAAAAACATAACTTTGGGTTATATCTAAATAACGACAGCTCATTTAAAAAATCTGACTACGCCACTGGATTCTATGTGAAAAATTGTGAAAGAAACAGTTCTTACTTTTCCTCTAAGTTGAAAGATAGCTGAGAAACAGGGGGGGTCCCAAAATGAAATATTTTCAATTTCGCCCTGTATCTCAGGAACGAAGCGGGCTATGGAAATTTTGTTCACGGTTTCGTGAGTTTCACAAAAAAGTAGCCAACGTTCGCGAAAACCGCAAATCTCTATCTTCAAAATTAAGCGAGATATCCCGTAAGGACATCGAAAATGGGACAGCCTGTACAACTAGACATCGGGAATAATGTGTAGGTAACTCACGAACTTTCAGTTCTACTTCTTTGCCTAGCAAAGAATACTCATCACTGGTCTTTCGACTGTCATTATATATCTTTAAACATTTTGGAAGTTTCACCTTGCACATCTTCCGACTCTTCTGCCGTTCTCTTGGTACATTTTCTTTTTGGTATATTGTTTTTATTTTTTAGTGTTTGCTGTACTTCTGGATTTGTCTTATTAGTCGAAGTTTCTTCTTGGGTAATAATTTGTTCTTCGGTTTGAGTGCCATCTTCTAGATTTATATTGCTAGTTGAATACTCGTGATCCGAACTTTTTTCACATTGATTCTGGAACAAAAATGATTATTCAGGTCTCTTTTCACTTCAAAACCAAATTAAAATTATTTTGTGAATATTTTCTAATTTTTTATTAATATATGTTTTCTCTTGCAGATACCAACCTCGGAAAAAGCTTGGCAGAACATAGCTGATCAATTTATTATAAAATGGAATGTTCCTAATTGCGTAGGAGCGATGGATGGCAAGCGCGTCGCACTACAGTCGCCAATACATAGCGGAACAGATTTTTTTCACTACAAATCTTTTCTTAGTATTGTTCTGTTTGCAATTGTCGATGCCAATTATAACATAATATATGCTAATGTTGGAAGTCAAGGTAGGATATCGGACGGAGGAGTTTTCAATCATTGTGATTTTAATCATAAATTAGAAAGCATCGTCCTGAATTTACCTGATCCTCGTACTCTACCTGGACGACTACAGCCTGTTCCTTACGTAATACTTGCGGATGATGCTTTTCCATTAGCCCAACAATAATTGTCAGCCAGACTGCAAGACCACGTATCTCAGTTTTGACAGTTTCTCAGGAGGATGAAAAAATATCCTAATTTCTCAATGTTACTTGATATTCAGAATGATCTTCGATGTCTACTATGAATACAATTGATACTGCATAACTAGATTGGGTAACGTGGAAAAAATCATTCCTTTGTTACTCACTCTCGAGTTACGTGTTCTTACACCCTTCTCTCTTTAGACATACGAGGTTTTGCGATTGAGCACCAATGTTGGAAATCGAAATGAAAATCAATTTGAAAAAATGAATGAAACTCTATTCGAACAAAAATAAAAACAAATGAAATGACATAACATCGTAATTCACATAAATGATCAGTAGTCAATCAGTTGGTAGTAAGGGGTTATTGGGTACATCAACAAAAATTAGTAATGCGGCAAGTTATCATCAAAGTTCCAGCAATGATTAGGTAGAACACTCTTCGGTTGCTGAAGGTGATTGCATTTCTCCTGTTCAATTTTTGGTGGATCTTTATACAATGGACATGGATTACGTATTAACGCTTGATGATCCGCTGTTTTTTTGAAAGTCTCGTCCATTCGTCTTTAAATTTGATTTTATATTCAATATCATTGTCCCTATCATATTTCAGACCCTTAATATCTGTTATTGTTGGATCTTCACGTTGATTGCCTGATCGAATGGAAGAGTAATATTTTATGCCCTCGTATTTCACTTTGAATATCTGTCCAGGCCGGGCTTCTTCACAAACATTTATGTAGTCCGGTAAGTGTATTTGTCTGTTTTTCAATTTCCTTTCTATCATACTTTGCGCAGCGTCTACCTCCATTTGAGTGTGCCCTTTTTCAAGGTATCTTTGTACAATCACAACATCATTGTTTTTTGCGAAATATAATAAGGCATTAGAAAGAATATGGCATCGATTCCGATAATTACACCCATCACTGTAGAGTATAATGTTTTTCATTTTATTCCTGCTTTCAGCAAGTTGATTTTGCAAATGACCTAGAAGAATGGATGCGAAAATATTAGAGGTCAGACCTTCCTCTCCCTCGTGCCATAAATAACAATGGACATCTTTGGTAACCAGATTGTACATCGTATAGTTATGTACACATAATTTAGTCTTATAATAAATAGCACTTGCCATGAGCAATGGTGCTAACTTCACAGCTTGCATATCAACAGTATAGATCAATGTGTCATTACTATTAGCGGCTGGTGGCCGTGAGCGTAGAGTCGCTGGCTGTTGCCCAGGCGGTCCGGGTTCGATCCCCGGCGCGAGCACTGAATTAATTTTCGGTAGTTTTGTTGGGCGGGAGGAGATAGGTGGCCAACCCAACATTCTTGGTACCTAGATATCAATCCTTTGGACTGTCCACGGTTACCAGCCGAGTAGTGCTTCGGATGACACTTAAAAAGCTAAGGTCCCCGTCTTCTTAACTCACACAAGTCTCTGACTTTCGAGGGTTGCTTTGCAACTAAGCTGGCGGTTAAAAACATTTTTTTTTTTATTCAATGCATATTTCTTATCCGAATCCTTTTGCTCTCGTGCATCGATCTTCCTCTGTTGGTGTGCTTGATATTCCTCCTCATCATAATTACCCTCCTTATGAGCAACGCAAATATCACACTGGGACTTTTTGGGCTGATGCAGGGCAATTTTTTGATTATCCATCTCTTGGAAAAATAACTTCGATGATAAGAAGGATTTTTTCCGCTACACAGAATGATCTATATTGCCTATAAACGTCCATTTTTGTAAGGAAGGTGGGCTCTAGGTATAATTTCGCAGTTGAAGCGCGACAGTAATGACTTTCTAGTTTCGGTAACTTCATCAAGTATGTTGTCATTAAATTACGGGCACTTACTGAATCTCTGGTAATTCTAGAACGATTTGGAGTTTTTGCCAATTCCTCTGTGATGTGCATTTCGTTTTCAGAAGCGAGAAACCAATTCCTGGCCATCCATTCATTGATTCCTAGTGTATGTAAAAACATCTTTTTGCATACTTGAACTTTCTTTTTTCCTAGTGGTAAAAGATATTGGAATGTTCCGTTTCTCCTTGATGGCGTAACTGTGATAGTTCTTTGTTTGATCGTTGTCATAGATATGAGGGTTGAAATATAAATCTTCCTCATGTCCCAAGTGGTTTGGCTCCAAAATTTGGTGAATATTAATTTCCTATCGGCGTCAGAAAAAATTGAACAAGATCTATTCTTGAACTTCTGGCATTGTCTGGAATTGCAAGTTGGTAACATTTTTCTCTCATTCCTGATAGCAGTTAGCTCGTATTTTTCTCCATTCTTCATGAGACCAAAATACTTCAATCGCCGCATTCGTTTGAATTTATTCTCCTTTTGCGTTCCTTAGGATTGTTCTCTCTCTGATATTCCTTCTGCTTCTCCCAATGATTCATTTCTGTCCGTTTCATCTGGTCCATCTCTTTCGTATGTCTCATCTCCTCCATCTGTCTCATCTTCTCCGTCTGACTCATTTCCTCCATCTGTCTCATCTCCTTCGTCTGTCTCATCTCCTTCGCCTGTCTTATTTTCTCTGTCTGTATCTGAACCGTTCTCAAAATCTTAGGAAGTTCTCATTCCATCTTCTTTTTTTGAACTGATGATTCCATTTTCACTTTCTCCATTTTGTTCTTCTACATCTTCATTATTTTCTGAATGGATTATAATTCCTTGCCTAATAAAAATTGATGGTTCAATCGTAGGAAATTCATATGATAATATGAAGGAGTTGAATTATTTATTGTTTCTACTGGGATTTGAGTTTGTGAGTAATATGCAGCAGCTTCTTCAGTGGTTGCTGTGGACAGGTACTGTTCTTCAGTAACCACTTCCATAGTTTCGAGAAAAGTTCTACTAATATTTTCATCGAGCCCCAAACAACTCCCAGGATCGGAATTACTTGTGATTTCCCCATTTTCAGGGGCGAAAGGTTCATTTCCATCATCGGAAAGTGAATTCACTATGATTTCTGAGTCTCTGTCAGATAGGGACTTGTTCATATCTATTGCAAGCTGATTATACGCATATCTGAAAATACATTTTCAATCTCATAACTCCATTTGCCAAATAGATACTTGGGTCTTCAATTTGGCATTCTTTCATTATGAAAAAAATTGTCAACTTATGTTTTTTTGTAAAGGAAATAGAAGCTATGACTTATCATCTTGATATAGCCTGATTGCAAAATAAACACGTATCTAACGAATTATTGATGTGCAAAAACACGTATCTCATGCTGATTCTAAATTGTTGTTATTGCGAAGTACTCACAACAAATCTATAATAACTTATGAATGCATGCTTTTGCCCAATTGCATATTTCTTCAATTCAAATATCACTCACACTGAATGAGGAGGATGACTGTTATAAAAACTTACCAATAAAAAACATGAACAACAGTACAGCACACAATGGAGAATTACTATGAACTAGACGAGTTACGTGGTTTTGCAACCCGCTGCGAGATACGAGGTTTTGATTCGAGTGGGAAATAAATACTTGGAAGGGGAATTGAGAATAAAGCTCCTGCACGACTATAGCCAATCATGTGAACTATTCAATGGCGCAAAAATCAAAACTTCGGATTTATTTAAGGTACGTGGTTTTGCAGTCTGGCCGACAATATGATTAAACCATATCCTGGTACACACAAAAAGGATCCAAAGAACGAATTTCTAATCACAGAATAAGTAGAGGAAGACGAATGTCAGAAAATGTATTTAGAAAACCAATGTTACTTCAAGAAACAACTGCTACTGACGTAACATTGGCATGCTTGTATTCACATGATTCTATGAGACGAACAACAGAGACTCGGTCTCGTTATAACCCACCAAGCACATACGACATTGAAGATACAGACACAGGAACAATTCTACCAGGATCGTGGAGAACGAACCATTTAGCCAACGATGCATTTTTACCGCTTGCTAGAACTCCCCGAAAATCTGCAACCGTACCACAACAAATTAGAGATGAATTCTGTAAATATTTCGTTAACGAGGGTAATGTCGATTGGCAAGATAGATTCGTATAGTTTTTTTTTTAAATATCTTATCTTTCTTATGAACTTAAGTTTATGTACCATGTTCGCATAGTCATTCTGAAAATGAAATATCTTGTTATTTTGGCCATCCTGAGGATGACTTCACTGACCAATATGAAAATTGTGTTTCACACTATTCAAAAACAGGTGTCCTATAAATAAGACGCTGGGAGGATGTGTGTTCTTGTTCGTACTAATTATTTTTCATGGTATTTAGGAAAACACTTAGTGCATAACGTAATATTACACTTTCCGCAAAATGTAAGTCTTCCTCATCCGTCAATCTGAATCTGAAACCAAAATTCGCCTATGAACTGATAATAATACAGTACCGAAATATTGACTGTAACGCCCAGCGTCATATTTATATGACACCAAGATTCATCACTATGTAAACTTATTATGAAACATATCTGAAATATGCTATTTGTTTTTAGTGATAAACTTGATCTTACGGTTTGCCAAAATAAATGAATTCTTTACTTACATGGATTGGTTTTCACACAAACACAGGAATGAAGTCACCGTGTACAGCAATGTAACAGTTACTTGGTTTTTAGGCATCGGCAGTCAAACTAAAGCGACTGATTCCTCGGAAACTAATGCTGAGTCAGAGCCCTCTATTCTCTGTTTGAATACGGGAAGCAGTCAGTGATCTTGAAGAGACCGTTAAAAAGCCACGAACACATTGTCTTATAAATAGGACGCTGGGCGCTAATGGGTTGATTCCATCAGTCTCTTGGATAAGACGTGGTGTATTTTTGTCCTTCAAAATTCCAAATACGGATAGGCGAACCATTTGGATTTATAATTGTCATCTGCTCCTGAACCTGATTCTTTTGTTTCCATTCTCCTTTTTTCTCGATAAAAACGGCATAAATTATAGCTTGAATTTTCCAATAACTTCTTGTTGCATTGAAATATCAGAATATTATTCGTTGAAAATACGAACAAGTTCAACAGGGAGAGCACGGACAGATATTTCCACTTGTAGAAAGTAGTCAAAATGTAACGAATCACACTGTACCTACATTAGTAGCCATGTTTTCCTTTCCATAGAAAGATACCATCCTATTCTCTACTGGAACTACATATAATGCATTATCCTCGTCAACTTTTTGATCATCATCTGAGTAGATGATTGGTGCTGAAAAAATATCATTTTCTCCTATAGTACAGCATCAAGTACCTCGGAGGATAAATCACTTGTGTATGCATGCGTGTTTTGAGTTCTATGACTATCTTCAACCTGTGGTGAAATAAATCATAGAAACACTACTTCATATTGATGCAGTATACCGTATACCGTGCGACCCAATTTTTTTTTCAAAGAGAAATGAAAAAAGGAAGTTTCATCTAGCAAACGGCTGCTCTTTATCAGAGAACACTATGAGTTCGTTATACTTTCCTTGAGAAATTCACAACAAAAAAAAAGGTTAGGCGCCACTCAACTTCTTGACAATGTTAATATCTACCTTCTTGATTTTATGGCTATAAGGGAAGTTGAGAAATCTTATAGACATCACGAATATGTTTTCACTAAATGATGAAAGTTATTGAAGATAGATATTTAAGTATGAATGTTCATCGCTACATAAATAAAATTCAGTATATGGATGATACATATATTATACAATGTTTACAGAGTATGTGTTTATGAAAATTGTGAATGATCTCTATTATAAATGTGAAAAATAATGAAAATGGAAAATGTGACGAAATATGACATGTGAATACGGAAAATACAGCAGTAAAACGTTTAAAATACAAGTTACCAATATTATGCAACCATGTTATAAAAATATTACCATACGCCAAAAAGATTGTTTCTCAGACAAATCAGTTATCATTACAATGATTATGGGATTATACAATTGTACGTGAATATAAAATAACCGATACCTGTTGTGTCAGCATAGTACTATGTGTCAGCGGGTAGGGGATTATGAGCGTTATGTAATAATCATCTTATGTAATGCATATGATGGCGGTTATAATGCATCAATATTCAATCAAATTAATTCACTCGAAGAAAAATAGTTATACACTAGATTCTTCTGAGATATAAATTAATCAAGAGGTATTACATAAAAAAAACAACGATTCAATTTTTTTTTATAACTGGTTACCATATTAACTTCGCTGCAGCATTCTCCGGGTGGAACAGGATGAGCATCAGCCACTTGCGCGGGATTCAAACGGGTGTGGTCCCAGATTGCAGTAAGACTGCAGGAAACTCGACGTATTGTCGATGATGGAGGATCCCATAGCTACGCAATTGGTGATGATCATGGTGGCACGTGGTGGTGACCACAAACAATGGCGAAAACCCAAGAAGTTCATGATTCAGTGAGGTAGATACCATGTGAAACGAATATAGAAACAGTAATTGATAGTCCCAATCTATCTCCCAAAGACCCTATAATAGAAACAAAAAAATAAATCATACTTACTAGTGCAACTGATTAGATTGTGGACCAATTTATATAGAAATAATAGACTTGCAATTTTCCTTCTACTTTCAAGTTTTTTGAATTTGAATTAAGTGAGCATAGTGTCATATGAAAAAGCAATATATAGTAGATACCGTGCTTTTTGAAATAGAGATATCAGAGAATTTTGTTTGCAATTTTTCGATACTATTTTTCTGTTCAGAATACGAGGGTGACCAGATGATTGAAGCGTATTCCAGAATGCTTCTAACATAAACATTGTAAAGATATATGAGGGTGTTTTCATTTTTGAAATGACACGAGTTCCTTATTACAAAGCCCAATGTTTTATACGCTTTGTTAACAAGGGTCTCGATGTTATTGTTGCCACTGAGATTGGTTCGAATGACACCCAAGATCTTTCACCTGGTCTTTTGATTGAAGTAATTCATTATTGATATGGTAGTCAAATTCTGTGATAGTATTTTTTCTGGTATAT